CATGCGTGTCTTACATCATTTATGATTCGTGCGTAGAACTTGCTATCAATTTCACATAGAATATGCTCTTGTTTCATGCATAGAATATGTTTTTGTTTCTTGCATAGAACCATCCTTCAATTAAGATCATCCATCGGTTATCTATCTTGCATAGAACATGCGCTATCATTGTATTGATTTGTAATCACGTTCATTTTGTGAATCTATTGTGCGCCTCTCTGTTTTATCTCAGGATGCGTGAAAAGCGAGCCCGATCAGTTTCTCCTTTATCTCAGGACACGTGAAGTGTGGCCCTAGGCATGTTTTATCTCGGGAAGCGTGAAGCGCGAGCCCAAGCAATTTCTCTTTTATCTCAGGATGTGTGAAGCGCGGCCCTGGGTGTGTTTTATCTCGGGGCGCATGAAGTGCAAGCCCGAGCGATTTCTCTTTTATCTCAAGATATGTGAAGCGCAGCCCTGGACATGTTTTATTTCGAGACGCATGAAGCGTGAGGCCCGAGCAGTTTCTCTTTTATCTCAGGACGTATGAAACGTAACCTCGAGTGGGTTTGATATCGGGACACATGAAACACAAACCCGTGTAGTTTCTTTTGTTTCTCAAGATGCGTAAGGCGTGACCCTGGGTGGCCTTCATCTTGGGACCCATGAAACGCGACCCCGAGCGGTTTTCATTTTTATGTTTTTTAAGATGCTTGAAACGCAACCCTGAGCAGTGTTTTCTTTCTTCGTCCCATATTTTGGTGTGGTTAGAGTGTGTTTTACATCTTTTTGCATGGAACCTGTGCCAGTTTTAAGCCTGAAGCTGCTCATTCATATGTTGTTATCTTATTATTACTTATTGCATTTGTTATTGCTTATTGCGTCATCTTGCATGATCATGAGTTTTCAAAATAGCCAGCTTCCCGAGGCGTGTGAGTCCAGCTTCAATGTATATTTTTCATGCATATCACTTGCATCTTGCCCCAGAACTACGCTGGTTTAATTCCTTGCAAAGGGATACGTAGGCAGCTTGCGAGCGTGACCATTTAATTTATGTCTTGATTATTTGTCCAAGTCTTACAGCCTTGTCAAAATAGGTCGTCTTTGGGCTTTAACATTCATTCACGTCATTTCATGTCTCCGAGTTCTGTCAAAGAGTGGCAACTGTAAACACCTCATTTTTGACAGCCCTTACGACTTGGACGCCATCGCTTGCACATCCAATGATGAGTGTATATACTTGATAAGTACTCAAAGTCCTTAGCAGAATGTCACAGCTTTGAGCTTTTTAAACCCTACACACCTGTTGCCTTATTTTTAAACCAAAACTAAAGATTTTCAAGCCTACAACCTTTTGTGGCCTACTGGCCCATTCTATTGGCTGTCGACCATTGCTTCTGGTTGTCGACCACCAATGCGCTTTACAGATATTTTTCTGCCAACTGTGCCAACTTTTGGCACAGATGCATGCACCTTCCTACACGTGTATGTACTGATATTTCTAAGGGAGTTGCATGGTTCTCTATATATAGGAGGCCTCCCCTTCCATTTTTAAGGTTGGAATTTTTTTAGAGCAAAACTTTTCTCTCTCTCTCTCTCTCTCTCTCTCTCACAACTTCTTAGCTTTCTGCAAGATTTTGCCTATACACTCTAAACCAAACCTCTCCATGTTTGAGCTAAGGTACCTTTGAGCCTTGTTTAAGCTCTTAAGAGTGTGTTTGCCTTGTTTTGTTTCCTAGATTGGTTCTTCTCTTCGAGAGATATAAAGCTTTGCTTTTCTACTTGCTTTAATCTCTTTTTTTCTTATTGTTTTTCCTTTGTTTTGGGGATGTATAAACTCTGTATTTTTTGACTGAAACTTGTGGTTTAAGGCCAATAAGGGTTGAGGGGTGGTTCACCCTTCTTTACACCTTGCTTTCAAGGCCTTTGCCCTTGTGTTTCCCACCTTTACACTATCTTTTTTTTAAGCTTTTAAACACTAATTTTAAGAGTTATTTCAGTGGCTAAAATCATGTTTTGAAATCCAAAATTGGAAGGGTTAGCCTCCCCTCCTTGTGTTTTACTTACCAGCCTAGCATGCTCCATATTTTAGCTTATTGTTGTAGCTATTTTTGTCTCAATTTCAGCATGTTTTAGGACTTATTTAGCACTATGTTAGTACTATTTTTAAGTGTTAATTGCATTTGAGCCTTGTATTGCATGCTTATAGTGCAATTGTCCTCATAAGGTTTGGTGTTTTAGGCCTTAGCCACCATAGTTGATAGTGTTTATTTCACGTTTTCTATACTTGTGATCACCTTTAATCACCTCTGCAACCTCCCTCATTTCTTGGATTTTACTTTGCTTTGAAAGTGGTTTCAAATTATTTGTTTGTTTAAGCATGAGATTGATGTGTCATGTTTAATAGTTTAATCCCTTTGGGGTTCATTACCAATGGTATGATGTCTCTTTCATGCCCAAAAGAACACTTGGTTTGAGCCTTCTTTCCATTAGAGGACATAAAATTCACTTTTGGACTTAACTGATTATAGAATTGAGAGGTAACTAAAATGGAGTAATAAAATTGGTGAATAAAAAAAGTGCAAGATAATAATTTGGTTTAGGTTCAATCGGATGTTAATTGAACCCTTGAGTCTCGAGTCGTTTCATACTCACTAGTGATGAAAACGGTTCAAGATTCATTGTCAACTACTTCCCTTGATCATTCATGATAGGGAGGTGGTTTTGAAAGTCTTATTTTGATGCATTTATTGAACTTACATTTTGGTTCATAGGCCATCATGCAATAAAATTGCATAGATTGATGGTTTGTAAATCAAGTTTTACTACTCCTTTGAGCTGTTCAAAAAATAAGGAATGGTAAGTTATGTGAACAACTCTTGAGAATACCCTGTCCCTGCTCTGTTTACTCTCTGTTGTAGCAGGACAAACTAGTCATCTGTGGCTGGAAGGCCATCATCAATGGATGGCAGGTTATCTACCGGCCACCTGTGCAAAATCCAGCAGTGTACTTTTGAAGCTGAACAGAATTGGTCTTGAGATGGAAAATAGTGCAACTGTTTAACTGTGCAACAGAGGCATTTGGCAGCAGAAACAGTGGCTTTTTTGGGTGGAAAGTCCGCGTATGGATGAGCATTCTTCGTTTCTTGAGAAAGAGTAATGAGAGTAGTTAATTTAGTTACTTCATGTTGTACTTAGCAAGTTAAACTAGTTATTTAATTTTGTCTTGTAATAATTAGTTAAGTAGAATAGGTAATTAATTTGATGTAATAATTAGTTAAGTAGTTTAGCTACATTTTTCATTTGGGTTTGTAATAGTTAATTATCTTAGCTTTAATTAGTTAGTAGTTAGTTTATTCGGACCCTCCTGTGTGTGGGCGCAAATATTGTAATAATGTGCACGTCTTCCAACCCCACGTCTTTCTTCCTTTTATTTATTAGCTTATGATGGTCAGTTTAGGGGCATCATGTTTTGTTTAGCATTTTCTATATTTGCATCCACTTGTTTTGCATGCATCGAGGCTCGGCGCATCATTCTAACTTGCATTGTTAGTTGAATAGTTCTTTAAATATGTGCTTAGGCCGCATGCTATCAAATTGATTCGTATGTCATATTAGTAGCCGTGCCTAGTAATTGCATATCACATGTGATGTACTAGTTATGTTGCATAGTTAGGAACATGCGTTTCTCTAACTTTATCAGCTCTTTTTTGTTGGCTTGGAATACTATGTAAGCCTTTACTCGCTTTAGCATATTGCATGAGTGTGATTGTTGCCATATTTAGCATGTTTACCATGAGGCTAATTGCTTAAGTGATAAACTGTTTGAATGCCTGTGGATGAAGGCTAATTGCTTGAATTGGAATAATTTGAGTAATGTTAATATGATATCAATTTTTCAAGTGGTACATATTCAAAACAATTTTGAAAACAAACATGAATCAAGCGTTCTAATTTTTGCAAGTTAGTCTATACTTGTGTGTGTACGCATCACATAATAATGCTAGACTAATAATCAGAACAAGAGTATATAATGTAAATAAGGTTCTGTTGGCTTGGAATACTATGTAAGCCTTTACTCGCTTTAGCATATTGCATGAGTGTGATTGTTGCCATATTTAGCATGTTTACCATGAGGCTAATTGCTTAAGTGATAAACTGTTTGAATGCCTGTGGATGAAGGCTAATTGCTTGAATTGGAATAATTTGAGTAATGTTAATATGATATCAATTTTTCAAGTGGTACATATTCAAAACAATTTTGAAAACAAACATGAATCAAGAGTTCTAATTTTTGCAAGTTAGTCTATACTTGTGTGTGCGCGCATCACATAATAATGCTAGACTAATAATCAGAACAAGAGCATATAATGTAAATAAGGTTCATATCATAATTAATAAAGGCCGATCTTTGATCGGGCGAGCAACGGTACTCAATTCATGACCTTCCCCTCTCGTACTTAAGTTCTCGAGTCGAGACAATCTTGGTAATGACGGGCACGTGGTCTTTGGCTTGAGTCATGGGTTTTCTAAATTTTTCAAAAATATTTAGGTTGCGACTCTATGGCTGGAAAAGCTGTCCATTTCTGACAATTTGATTCAAAATCGATTTTCTAAAAAATTTGTCAGATTTGGACTCTTTGGTATTTATCTATTTCACATTGCACTTGTGGAATCAGATTTAGATCCGTGGGGGTCCGATACTGTAGGGCCTATTCGTCTTCCGAAAGGGGGGCACGAAAAATTCGAGCTACAAGGGATCAATTGAACAGAAATGGAGAGAAAAATTAGGGCAAAGATGAACTGTCCATCTTCCGATTACATTTCTGACGAATTAATATGCCTCGCTGCTTGATCTTTCTCATCGCAATTAACCCGTTCGAGATCATCGTTTTGATCTGAATTGAGAAGACGATCAGAGTTTGACTCCAGGTGTTACGTAGCGAACTCGAAATGTTGCACATGAATGAGAATGAGTCAATTTCTGAGTACTTTAACAGAACATTGACCATTGTTAATTAGATGAGAAGATATGGAGAGAAGATGAAATCTCTTCAAGTGTTAGAGAAGATTCTACGATCAATTAGTCCCAAGTTCGAGCACATGGTTATAGCAATAGAAGAATCTAAGGATCTTAGTGCCATGACCACTGATGAGCTAATGGGCACACTTGAGATTCATGAACAAAGGATCAACAAGAAGACTCCCTCAAGTTCTCTAGAGCAAGCTCTTCAATCAAAGCTGTTTTTAAGAGATGACAGAAACGAGCAAGGGGGAACATCACAAAGAAGCCGAGGAAAAGGTCGTGGTTACAATAATTGAAGTTCTAGTTTTCAAGGAAGAGGTCCAGCCATAGGAGAAAGAAGTCAACCACACTTTGCTCTAAGAGGAAGAGCAAGAGGTAGAGGAGGTGGTTACAACAACTGAACAGGAGTTGAGAAAAGCAATGTTCAGTGCTACCAGTGCCATAAGTTTGGGCATTACAGCAATGAATACAGAAGTAGAGCAACAACAAAACCTAGAGAGCAAGCAAATTTTTTCGAGCAGGAAACAAACAAAGTTGGTCCTACAGTCCTGTTTGTCCACCATGGAGACACTGAAAACCAAAACAATGTTTGGTATCTAGATTCGGGAGCCAATAATCACATGTGTGGTAAAAGAGAGTCGTTCGTTGAGCTTGACGAGACTGTACAAGCACAAGTCTCATTTGGTGATTCTTCAAAGACTCCAGTGAAAGGAAGAGGTAATATTCTGATTGAGCTCAAGAATGGAGATCATGATTACATCTCCAGTGTTTATTATGCTCCTGCCATGAAGAACAACATTTTGAGTATGGGACAACTCCTAGAGAAAGGATATGACATCAGCATGAAAGATTGCCATCTTACCATCAAAGACAATCATGGTAATTTGATCGTTCGAGTGAGAATGTCCAAGAATCAGATGTTTGCATTGAACATCCAACATGATGTTGCGAAGTATTTAAGTGCCATTATCAAAGACAAAAACTAGCTATGGCATTTGAGGTTTGGACATTTTAACTTTGGAAGCTTAAAGCTATTGTCAAGCAAGAATATGGTGAAAGGGTTCCCTCATATTGTTCATATTAATGAGGCCTATGAAAGCTGCATTCTTGGCAAGGATCACAAAACTAGCTTTGCCAAAGAAGTGAAGTGGAGAGCAACAAAGCCGCTGGAGCTAGTGCACACTGATGTCTGTGGTCCATTGAAGCCAATGTCAAATGGACAGAATAAATATTTTCTCACCTTCATTGATGATTATAACCGGAAGATATGGGTGTATTTTCTTAAAAGAAAGTCGGAGGTGTTTAGTATCTTCAAAGAATTCAAAGCTTTTGTAGAGAAGCAAAGTGGCTACTACATCAAGACATTGCGATCAGATTAAGGTGGAGAATATACATCAGATGCTTTCGAGAATTATTGCAAAGAGCATGGAATCAAGCATCAAACAACACCATCCTATGCGCCATAGTTGAATGGTGTTGCTGAAAGGAAGAATTGTACAATCTTAGATATGGCAAGTAGCATGTTGAAAGGAAAGGGACTACCCAAACAATTTTGGACTGAAGCCGTATTATGTGTTGTGTATCTACTGAACAGATGTCCAACCAGGAGCCTTTATTCTATGACTCCAAAAGAAGCTTGGAGTTCACATAAGCCAAGTGTCAACCATCTCAGAATATTTGGGTGTGTTGCGTACACCAAGATTCCAGAAACAAGAAGAACCAAGCTCAATGATAAAGGAGAAATATGTGTCCTTGTCAAATATGGAGACAGAACAATGGGATACAAGTTATATACTCCCATTACCAGAAAGGTAATCATGAGTAGAGATGTGATATTTGAAGAAGAAGAAGCTTGGAACTGGAATCAAGATGAAGTTGTTAAAGATGCAAAACTCATTCTTGAAGATGAAACATCAAAAGCTCCGGTTGAAATTACAAGAGAAGTTCAAGATGAGCCATAAACTCCTCTACATAGAATACCGGCATCTAGATTGCCAGTTTCTCACAGAAGTGTTGCATCATCATCATCATCAGCATCATCAGATGATAGTTTTTTCAAACAACCAAGACCAATGAGAAATTTATAGGAGATATATGAAGCTCCAGAAGAAGCAGATCTGAATTTGTTCTCCTTACTCGCAGATAATGATCCACTTACCTTCTCAGAAGCCATCCAAGAAGATAAATGGAATAAAGTAATGGATGAAGAAATTCATGCCATTGAGAAAAATGACACATGGAAGCTTACCAGTCTACTGGAGGGGCACAAACCCATTGGAGTGAAATGGGTATACAAGACAATGAGGAATGCACAAGGCGAAGTGCAATGCTACAAGGTAAGATTAGTAGCAAAAGGTTACCAGTAGAGAGCTGGAATTGATTATGGAGAGATGTTTCCGCCAGTTGCCCGATTAGAGACTATCAGGCTAATGATTTCTTTGGCTGCCCAGCACAAGTGGCAGATTTATCAACTTGATGTGAAATATGCATTTCTTAATGGTTTCCTTGAAGAAGAAATCTATATTAAACAACCTTTGCGTATGTTCAGAATGGGCATGAAGACAAAGTGTACAAATTGAAGAAAGCACTTTATGGATTGAAGTAAGCTCCGCGTGCATGGAATACTAGAATTGATCAGTATTTTCATGACAATGGTTTTGAAAAATGTCCATATGAGCACACACTATATTTGAAGAAGGAAGCTGATGAAAGCATGTTGCTTGCTTGTCATTATGTTGATGATCTAATTTTCACCATAAACAATCCAGCCATGTTCAAAGACTTTAAAAGAAGCATGCTCCAAGAATTTGAAATGACAGATATTGGATTGATGGCTCATTTTCTCGGGATTGAAGTGGCACAAAGAAAAGATGGAATTTTTATTTCCCAAAGTGGCTATGCCAAGAAAATTCTCAAGAGATATGGAATAGAAAATTGCAATCCAGTGAACACTTCTATAGACAGTGGAGTGGAGCTCAAAAAAGGTACAAAGACATGTGATGTGGATCTAACTTATTTTAAGAGCCTAGGTGGAAGTGTTTGCTATCTTACTTGCACCAGGCCAGACATACTCTATGGAGTAGCACTGATTAGTAGATATATGGAAACACCGGATCAGTCACACCTTTATGTGGCAAAGAGGATTCTTCGCTACAGCAAAGGTACAGTCGATGATGGCTTATTTTATAAACCAACTGATAATTTCAGTCTTGTTGGCTACTCA